TATATATAATATCAACATATAAAAAATAGGTGATATTATTTATTTTATTATATATTGTTGGGAGAAGACTTTGAACGAGCAATAAGTTCCCGCCCTTCTAGAGGGCAGCCCCCGGTTGGCGGCGCGACTCGGCGCGCCACGCGTGCGTGCGAGCATCAGTGGTGCTCACAAGAGCCTCGATCACCGTCGTGTTCAGACGTGTCGGTTACGGTTTAAGTTACAGAGTGTGATATACTTATATATAATAAAGACAGTATTCAGAGTGTACAAAGACCAAGATTGTTGTGTTCCCTGCTCATCTCACCACATTTCAAGTCGTCCCTAATTATATTTCCAATAGGTTATGGGCCCAGGGCACGATTCCCCTGCGTGAGGAACATAGCACGAAAGTGTATATACGAAGTGTGTGAGACGCCGGCGAAGGGCATAGAAAGAGATAGAAGCATCTAGAAGATTAGAGGGTAAGTAAATAATATTCCTCGTTGCTGACGAGCAAAACGAGAGAATTCTCAGTTAATAAGAATGTTCGTTCGATAAATACTGTTACAAGGAGATAGATGTTTTTGCCATTTTTCTCGAGAAATAGAAATAGAGGTAATAATGGTAATAAGAGAATTAGAAAATAGATGTGTAAAGTGTAATAAAGAAGTAGAGAATAATGAAGGAAAAAGAGATAAAAAAATGCCGCTTGGTAGCAAGTCGGCGACGTGCGCGTGCAAGTCCGATCGTGAACGGCGAGAGTCATTTCTTTTGGCGCGCGGAATTTTTGGCGCGCGGAAGTCCGATCGTAGACGGCGAGAGTCATTGTTTTTGGCGCGCAGAACTTGTTGCTGGGCACGCACAAACACATAATCGATTTCGACTAACAACATGGCATCGATGCTAGATGGCTAGATTACGATACATGTAAATGTATGCGTATGCTAGATGGCTAGATTGCGATACATGTAAATGTATACGTATGTATAAAAACTCTATATGACTTTATATGAGTTTATTTTTTTTGAAATCGATATGTATCGGGTCGGTAATTGAGCATAACTTGCTGTGCGGTGTAGCTTGATTACTGTTTAGGGAAGCCGCGTAAATTTGTATGGGCCCCGTGCGTGTGCGTGATCAACCCGAGCTCCCATAGATCTTTTCAGCAGTGCTGGGGATCGCAACAGACAGTGGTGTGCGCGTGCGGATAACCCTGCAGAGGCGCGTGGTTTTCTCGCTTTGGGGTTATTGTGAATTGCAGTGCGTTCTATATAGCCTCATAAGCATTAAATTTTTATCGCTGAAAGAGATCTAGTGATAGAAATTGTAAATTATTATTTGTCAATACGAATGTTGGTTTATCTTGTCAAAAGAGGAATGCTAATGTTCAGTTGATATTTAAATCCCGATATAGATGGAAGAAGAAGAAGGCCAAGATGCGCTGGTCGACTACGACAGCGATAGCAGCTTTATCACGGTAATAGATAGAGAAGCAAAAGATAAAAACGAGGAGACAGTAAAAAAAGATAGAGGTAAGAGAGTATTTTTTTTGAAAATAAAGTAGTCCAGAAGAATAATATATATATGCATTCAAAGAAAATAAAAATAGTAATTTCAAAATTCCGTATAGAAGCAAAAGACAAGAAGGAGACTGAAGCAAAGGGTGCAATCCCGAAACGCGGCAAACCAAAGATAATAGAAAACATAGATGTGAATAGAGAATGGGCTGAAAATCGTCCTGTACTACCTACAGGGACAAAGATACTTTACGAGAAACAAGAAAAGATGGTTGAGAAAATGGACAATTCGATGCAGATGCTGGATAAAGTAATGAAGAAGGCCACCGAGATGATGGAGAATATGGTGGAAGTCTCCCGTTTAAACTTAGAGAAAGAAAAAGTTAAACTTAGACGTTTAGAGGTAAGCAATAAAGATACCCAAAGTTCAGTAGAAAACAGTAAACAAACGGTTAAAGAACTAGAGGTAGAGTCTAAAAAGAGAAAATTAAATGAAATAACAGTCTGTTCAGCCGAAAAAGATAGGAGTTTAGAGACAATAAAAAGAGCTATAGAATTGGAATTGAACAGTCAAAGGTTGCATATTAGAAGAGAATATAAGCTGACGCAAAAATCCAACTTTGATCTTTGGATGGATTATTTAAAATCTGAGTTAATGAATAACGAGTTGTTAGATGTAATAGATTCAAACATTAAAAGTCCAGAAAATCTCTCCGAACTAAAAGTTGCTAAGAGAAAAAGTCTAGTTAGAGATATAATAATCAATCATTTAGATGAAAACTATCATAAAAGGATTCTACATGAAAAAGATCCGAAAGAAATTTTGAAGAAATTGAGAGGATATAAAAAGAGTGAAGTAAACGTTACTCATGCATCGGTACGAGCTAAACTCTATCAAATTGAAATGAGAAAAGACGAAAAAGTAAGTGATTTTTGTGAACGCTTCGATTCAATAATTAGAGAATATGAATCATGTGAAGATGCGTACCCCTCGCAGAACAAGAGATTAGATCTGCACTTTATCAGGCTGTGTCAATTAATGTACCAGAGCTGAGGAATTTAGATTTAATTAGAAGGCAAACTAATCTTAAAGAAATGAACATAGATGAAATAAAGTCTTTTATGATGCAGTTAGAAGCAGAGACTAAAAACGAGAATAAAGAAAAATTAGAGAAACCCGAAGTCAGGGTACAGAGGGCTGCTGCAGAAGAGAACATGAAACAAGTGAAATGCTACAGATGCAACCGAATGGGTCATATGGCAAAGGACTGTCCACTAATAGAATTTGGTGCCTGGTTTTGTTACTACTGCCAGGAAGTACGAGGTCACAAGGGTGATAATTGTCCGAGTGCCGAAGCCCAGGCGAACAGAGCTAGAGGAAAAAGGTATTTAAATAAAACCGTTAATAAAAACATAAAGAAAAAGAGTAGATTTGTGCAAAAAGGCACAAAAAGAGTAGATAACAAAGGGAAAATAACCAAGATACAACCAGCTGAGAAACCTATATCAACGAAAACAGCAAATAAAGGAGAATCAGAAGAAGGTAAATAATACATGGTTAAATTAATAGAGGATAGAGATAGTTCAAAAGAGGTAGTCAATTTTACTGCAGATTCGGGTGCTACGGATCATATTGTGAATAAGAATTTTATTCTGTCAAAGTTTGAAAAATGTAAAGATAGAGTTATTAAATGCGCGAATAAAAATGAGCTTGCAAACATTTCAATAGATGGTAAAGGAGATCTTACGCTAATAACGAATGAAAAAGAAAAGAGAGTCATTAAATTAACAAATGTAATTGCAGCAAAGAAAGTATCCAAAAAATTTACTATATCTAAGAAAGTTGGCTGATGCAGGGTTCAGTATTTATTTAGATGATAAAGTGTTTAAAGTTTACAATAAACTGACAAATAAAATAGTTTTTAAAGGAATTTACAGATGTAGAGCAGAAATTGTTCCACATAGTGAGCTTCCTGAACAATCGCAAGCAAACATTCAGACCAATGAATTATCAATTTCGGATGGAGAGTTAAATGAGAGGGATAATGTTGGCTCTGCGATTGGGAGGGAGAATGAAGGAGAGCTCACAAATGTGAACGAAAATGAAAATATAGAACACAATAATGCTGAACTCGATCAAGTCATTAAGTTAGAAGATATACAGACAATAGAGAATATAGAAGAAATGTGTGAAAGCTCAGTAATTGAAAAAGTAAAGAAACTAGAGAAAATAAATGAGGTGATGTTATGGCATGTTAGATTAGGTCATGCATCGTTAAACTATCTAAAACAATTACAAAAAGTAGAAAAGAGATTAGAAAATGTAAAGTTTGATAACTTTATATTAGAGTGTGAAGTATGTATAATGGCAAAGATGGCAAAACTGCCGTTTAAAGAAAACAGAACCGTTGAAAGAGAAAGTAAGAACATATATGCTCGACTCGGGATTACTAAAGAGTATGTGGGAGTTGGCAGTTGACGCTGCTGTGCATGCGTACAACAGATCTTCACATAAGACTTTCGAGTACGAGATCCCGTTGAAGAAGTTTTCATCAGAAACAAGTTGTCATTTTGAACAAATAAAGAAATTCGGATGCATTGGATATGCAAGAGTACCAAAGCCTACGTCGAAATTCGACAAGACAGCTATTGGTGTGTTGGTGGGATATACTGACACTGGATATATACTATATACTCTGGTATCCAAGCACGAGAAAATTTATAGAGTCATGACAACAGAGCAGCAAGAAACTGCACTAAGATGGATAGAAGTCACAAACTTAAAATGTTTGATGACGACTTAGAAGAAATAAAGAAAGACTTAAAAGAAAAAGAAGAAACTGGAAACAGAAAACATATGAATGACACTCATGGAGATTTTATCAAGCAGTGTGTTGATTAAGGGAAGGTAAAAGTCGAATGGATAAAGACCAAAGAGAATTTGACAGACATTATGACAAAACCTTTACCTCTAGAAGCATTTGTGTATCTGAGAGATAAAATAATGAATATAGAGTTTAGACAAAGTTAGAGATTAATTTTAGTCGATAACTAATTCTTGTTATATTTCAGATAAAGAGGAAACTTAGAGAGGACCCGTGGATCGCTCGCCCAAAGGGAGGGAATGTTGGAAGAAGACTTTGAACGAGCAATAAGTTCCCGCCCTTCTAGAGGGCAGCCCCCGGTTGGCGGCGCGACTCGGCGCGCCACGCGTGCGTGCGAGCATCAGTGGTGCTCACAAGAGCCTCGATCACCGTCGTGTTCAGACGTGTCGGTTACGGTTTAAGTTACAGAGTGTGATATACTTATATATAATAAAGACAGTATTCAGAGTGTACAAAGACCAAGATTGTTGTGTTCCCTGCTCATCTCACCACATTTCAAGTCGTCCCTGATTATATTTCCAATATATATATATAATTATATATAATTATATATATATGTTGATATTATATATATATATATATATAATATCAACATATAAAAAATAGGTGATATTATTTATTTTAGAAAAATGTTTCATTTTGATTTTCTTAAATATATAATCAATTATAAGATCATTAAAAATTGAAAGTATAAATAATACATGAATTTCATTAATGTTACCAAATTCGATCAAATAAATTCGGTTTCTTACATACATAATTGCCAACTTTTATGAGCTGAGATATAGATAATAAGTTTTTTAGTGTTATTATTATGCTTCTACCTGTTTCTTTTATTGGTTTTGTGTTTAATTTTAGTTTTAGTCTTTAAATGCATAAATATTCTTGTATGTTCAATAGCATATATTTGCAATATAAAATACAAACTATTTTGATACTCAAAAAAAAGTTTATTGATCCATAAAGACGAATATTATTGTCTGTTACTATCTCAACATTATGACTATTAACTTTGATTTCCTTATATATATTTGAAGTGTAAATTTTGTTGTTAATTTTCGCTCGAGCACATACAAATACATTTGTCAAATCTATACTTTCATATGCAAATAGTTCGTGTTCTGAATCGCTAAGTCTGATGTTAGTAATTCTTTTGCCAAGAAGTTCATAACTTTTCACTATTTGAATATCCAAAAAATTTTGATTGTGTGCTGTTATATGGTTTCTTAAAATGCCGACACTCTGAGCAATCATCACATTATTAACAATTTCTTGTGATAAATGTTTAGTATCAGTTACACTTTTTGCGATGAAACCATTATAGTTTTCAAAACAAAAAGCCAATGTTGCTGAAAGTGGACCCCATCGTTTCACTGATAAAACTAAATGTAAAAGTTGATGGGAATTATATGTGAGCTCTTTATCACTGAATAAGTCCGGAATTTCTTCAACAAATACTTTTAACAATTTATCTGCTTGCTCTAAATCCTCAACCGTAATCTGATCTTGAACTAAATTAAATATTGCAATAACTAAACCCATCAAATGTTGAAAATACTTTTCTGGCAAATAATTTTCAAGAGTTGGAAGCGAATAAAATAATAGCAGATTGTAAAATTCTGAAGCTTTAAAAAAATGAGATTGCGTCAGTGGCCTTGGCATTTGATTAAAAGATAACAGAGGACGAATATTCGTTATGAATTTATCAATGTTTTTAATAAAAGGCTTTACGCTCCAAGGACCTGACTTGTTGATGTAAATATTGAAGAATCGTTTCACAACTCCAAGTAATACCGAATGCATGAATTCAGGAATTAAACATGTTCCTAAGTTCAGTAACGGAAAGCAAGACAATATCGAATATCTTTTGACTCCTCGCAGATGTTTTTTTTCTAATTTTCGCAATTTTTGAGCAAGATTTATCATTCTATTGTCGCCTCTTAGTCTAGCGTTAAAATTATAGGGATAAAATCGACTAATTTTTTGTCCATTTTTTGCATTTTGACTTTTTTTCGTTCGAATTTCACAAATGTTGCAACCGTATCAATGTATCAACCGTTAAAATTAAAAATATTCTGAAGTTGAGCTCAAGCCGGAGCATCTGCTATTATTAAAGGAGCAACAACTTTAGATGTAACTAATTCCTTCGTTACTGGATGAATCCATTGAATGCCTTCTTCAAAGCATTGGTTCAATTTTAAATAGAGAGGACGTAAAAACGTATTCATGCGTGGTTTACAATCTTTGTCATACCACAAGCCCAAATTTATGATAAATGACTCTCTTAAATTCGCCGGAAGTTCGGCTATAGTGCCTATAACAATGGCCAAAAATGACTTTGAGCACTTTTAATTAAAGAAAGTCCATCTGTATTAATTATAAGTGTTAGATCGTATTTCTGTCTATTCGGTCGCGAATTTACTCGAATATATTCTGAGCCATCAGTAATGTCTGTAATAACATTATTGTCACGTGGCATGAGAGGTTTTAGTTTTTCACTCAGGTTGTAATTTTCAAATAAATATTTTATTTGACTATGAATATCAAATTCAAAGAAGAAACAATCTTTGTCGACTTTAATATTGCATGCCGGACATGTCATAACTTTTTTGTCACTACTAATATACCCTGAGCACATTTTACAAAAATAATGCTTTATAAATAATGCATGGAGGAGCAATTTTTTTCGCATATTGCAATAATTTGTGAACAGTTTTGGGCATTGCGTTATTTTCAGGTAATATATTGATTTGAATCCTCAATCCCTTTTTAAGTACAGCTTTACTTATTTTATGTTTAATGTAATAATTAAGTACATCAAAAACAGCTTGGTCGACAGAAACAGAGCAATTTTCGTATAACATTACATTTTGATGAGTATTATGATTACGAACATTATTTGCCAGATTTTCATCGAATAACAGTTCATGGTTTTGATCTTGATCAATGTCATTATTATCGTTTTCACTGTCAGAAGCATTTTCAGGTTCATAAAAATCTTCTACGTCACTCTCATCTGTTGAGTGATCTCTTTCTGCTATCCTTTCATCAGTATGTTCATGTTCTGCACTTTTACCCTAACGGAAAAAATTTTTATGAATAACTACAAAATTTAACTAAAAATAGAAATTTGTACATTTTTGTTGAAATATTTAATTTTTTGTTAAAATAGTTATTTTTTTGTAGAAATATCTACGAAATAGTACAACAAATTACAATGTTTTCAAATCAAGAAATTATTGCAAGTAGTATTTTATGAAAAACTACAATTTTATAAAAAATAGTACAAAGATCTACAAATTTTAAAAATTTAAGAAGAAACAAAATCTTAAAAAATGAAAACATTTGCTTACTTGTAGATTACTACAATTATTTATAAATGACTAAGAAATCTACTACAATTTACGTATCGTAAAACTATGCAACTTAGAATCTAATTCAGTTTTTAGTTTCTCATAAAATACTACAACTGCGTACAAATACTAACAAATATCGATTTGTTTGTACAGCTCAAAAATTTATTACAATTATGGCTAATTA